AACGGTTGCGACGGATCAGGCGCTGGTGCAGTTTACTTAGCGGTTGAGCGAGCGATTTTTAGTAGTTTTGTTTTGAGTAATAATTGCACTTAAATTATGATATCATAAACAAGGCCTAGGAACTATTTTGTTGAGTTCTTCTTAGGACTTACACTTCCGCTTTCACATCCGCTTCCATTTTTGTTTCCATTATGACACTTCGGTTGCATCACTAGTTTAAACATTTAGTTTGATTAGGTATAATTGAACAATATTTGTAAATAATACTTTTATTATTTCTCCTTATTGCGTGCACTAGTAACTTAAACGTTAGGTACCTTTAGGTACCTTTGCTTATGAGGTATGTGCACTTTAGAAATACGTAGGTACTTCATTCATATTCAATGGCGTATAAGAGTGAGCCTCCATAAAAAATCTACCGCAAGCTAATTTTCAATGTGTCACTAAAGTTTTACTAGATACTACTACTACTACGACTAAGATTCACTACGGAATGGTATTTGCTTGTAAATACAAATAATTTTTGATATAATAAAGACAAGATTGCGTTTATTGGACATTTATTTGCTGACCCATTATGTATGATACTTATATCTCAACTCGATGACGTTAGTTGTCTTTTGTGCACTCGTAAAAAATAAATACGAGGCGTTGATCTTTTTTAACTATACACCGAGTGATATTGACGAGAAATACGTTTTTCGAAAAACAAAGGAAGAGTTAAAAGTGAGATATACCTACAGAGTTATTTGAAAAATACTATAAGCCTCACAGGACCATATTACTACAATCACAAACAGCAACGTTGGTTTAACAACATTTAATAATTCATCAGATTTTACTTTCGTACAAAAATAAAAATATTTTAATAGATCGCTCTAAACGGTAAGAACTTTATGCGGTGACTAAAGAAAGCGCGAGCGTAAATACCAATCCAAAATTTCCATTCAATTTTGGAAATGACTTCCTCGAATTTGCGGTAGTGTTTTTTGTATCATATGGTATGGTATAACGAGCTGGTGTCCTCAACGTCCAAGCGCTTATTTTGCGTGTGGTTGATGCAGGGTGCAAAATCTCAGCCACCCTCCTGGGTTTTTCGAAGATTTCGGGGAGCGACCTCGGCACTCCAAGGTATTTTGTCCTGTATTTGGCCACGTCGGAGCATTGCAGTAGGATGTGCGCGGCGGTTTCTCCATGCGTACTCTGTATAGAGGGCGGTTCGTGGTACCTAGATTTAAAAGGTGTTTATTATATAAAGCATGGCCCTTAGAGCGGCAGTTAGAATGCGCAGCTCTTTCCTTTTGAGCTTCAGAAATTTACGAGATAGACCAGCGTTAAGCATGGGAAGTGCTTCTCTAGCCTGTTTACAAACCATACAGGTTGTCCAGGTGTTATTATGAATAGTTTTTATATCTTTGTGTATAGTTGCTGTTGACCATTGGTAGAGGAGGGACACTGTAGGTTCTGGTCCAATAGCGTCCATCTCCGACCCTCTTCTGGCCAGTTCGTCTGTAGTGCTTCTTGTATACAACATATAATTATATAGCAAATCTAACACTACGACAGAATTCTTACAAAATGTATCGAATAAAACTGAAAATATTCATATGCAATATCGAAATCGGTTATGATAAAGTAGAGCATAGAACTGATATTTCAGGTCAACTACGGAAAAAACAATTTTCCATAGTCCATCCAGATGAACCAATAAGCAGGTCTTTGAGACGGGATTTAAATAGGAAGAAGAAACCTATGAAAAACAGAGCACGCTCCATTGGTGGCTTATAAATACATATTTATTTATTTAAATAGCTTTCATTAACAATAATAAAGTGATTATGATGAAAAAAAAAACCAAAAATATTTTAAAAATTTATGTATCCCGTTCAATTCCAATTTTTTATTTTTTTT